TTTGTAAACCAATATGTATAGGCAATACGAATGAAGCAGCATTTTCCAATGCTACTTGAAAGAATATAAAAAAGCCCTGGGATTGAAAATAAGTGTATTAAAAAGCCCTTGAAAATAGGACAAACACTAATACGACTTAAATCTAATGCAAACTTAGCTTCTAAGATGGTTCATTGATTCTTCATTAGCTATTTTCTGTGTAGTACAAAAGTCCTTGAAAATGTTTGTGCTTGAAAAGTGATTAAAAAGTTTTTCGTATTATTAAGAATGATAAACAACTTATTAAAAGATGTATAATATATTTCTGTGTGAAAAATATAGTTTTGTTGTTGTTGTTGACGTTTTTTGTTTTATTTTTCAGGAATCCTGCACTTCTTAGTGGAACAAATCTAATGGGAAACAGACTGTCAGTTCCAACAAGTGTGCATTCCCAACAACAACTTGTAAATGTCAAGTCAGAACCAGCAGARCACGATCCTTCTTCACCGAATTCACGGTCTTCTGTCTCTCCAACATCACCCTATTGYCGACAGACACCAAGTAGAGAAGGAAGGGACATTGACATGGCAGATGTAAACACACCAAAGCGACCTCGCATGGACACTACAGCGAATGGCTGGCGTTAGGAGCAACAGCTATTGTATRTATATAGCATCAGTATATCTTATAAATTTTTTTAAATCCCTGTAATATTCAAAAACATTGTATTATTTTATTATTTTTTGTTCGAAGATGCAGTATAAACTGAGTAGTTTGATGAAAATTCTTAAATAGGTGTGTGATAATCACTAGGTGATATTATTGTATTGCAAAATAGTGTTTAACTTCTCGTATTGTGAGGCAAAATAGTGTTTAACTTTTCGTATTGTGAGGACAGTTGAGAAAAATAATTTTCATAGATTTACTATAGTTATTGATAAAAGCAACGGTAATGAGAAAAGCCAATGTACAATGGAAATAGATAAAAACAAACCATTCTACGCGACTCTGCTGAGTCTAATTTGTTATTCTGCTATTATTCTAAGGCTTCAATTTTATAGACTGATCCTAGAAACTGGATGCCAAAACTTCAGCAGTTATTAGTAAATTTTTGTACTCCATTAGAAAACGCCTAGATGTAATTATGGTTGTGTAAGGGTGTTATTTTATTAGTAATATTACTTGACAAAAATTGCTTTTATTGTGTGTTGATGAAATTACGTAATTTTGCCATTAATCTAGAAAATAAGCGCTTGATTGAAGAGAAACTATTATAATCATTATGAGTAAAGTATAATAGGACGAAGGACCAACAACCAAAATGTTAGTAAGTTATTAGCCTGCGTAGCAGCTCTAGGGAAGGGGGAAAGGGGGAAAACCGAAGGAAAAGGAGTTAGGGAAGGAGGAAAAAAAGGTTTCCCCTCTT